GTCACTGGTCTGAAAGTTACAGTCCAGTGAGACCGTCTGTCCTTCAGCAGCAGAGACGTCTCTTTGTAGCTGGTCCACTCTGTCCTGTCCTCTACACTCTGAACAAGAAGAAAACATCAGTGAAGAGCATTGATACAGGCTGTCAGAAGAGTCCAAAGAACAGCTGTGGAACATAGAGTCCAAGCTCAGTACCAGGTGGAACTGTTCTCTATCTTACCAAAGACAAGAGCAGCCAAACTCAGCCACAGCAGAAGTTCCATCTCTACAACCAGCTTCAACATTCAGTCTGACACAGCAGAACTTCTGATGTTGAACACAGTGAGCCGCCTTCTGGACAGTGTCTCCCTCTAGTGGAGGGCAGCAGCAGCAGGTGTTCTTGTACAGAGCTGTGGTGTTTCCTGTCACTGTGGGCCTCACAGCACAGTAGTAAACAGCAGAGTCTCTCACTGCAGCACTGTTGATCTGCAGCTCCACTTTTCTTTCTTCAGCTTTCACTGTAGCAGACAGTCCAGGGACTGAGGCTGACAGAGGTGCTCCTGTCCCTGAGACAGAGACCAGGAACTCTGGTGCTTTTCCTGGATCTTGTCGGTACCAGAAGAAATAGTCAGTGCCAGTTGGTTCCTTCTTGTCTTTGTAGGTCAGAGTGACAGAGCTGCCTTCTGAAGGGAACTGTTCAGCCTGGTCTAGAGTCAGGTCTTCACAGCTGACACCTGAAGGAGAAAATAATGAAGTCAAAGAAAGTCCACATCCAGATGTTCAGTTGAAATATGAGGCTCCCTCTAGTGGATGTGACATTTCGTAACATGGTACTACAGAATAGTAGTTTAGCAGTTTTAAAAACAAAGTGCTTCAAAATAATCAAAACAGATAACCACGTTGTCCGAGTATCATAAAAATCTTAGCAGTATCAAAGATAGACTATTCTGACAAAATAGGTTGTTTTTTTTTTTTTTACAAAACGGGTGAAAAAAAATCACAAGGAGTTCACAAGGTTGGCCACACAATCAATTCAAACGAGTAACGTTTAAAAACGTTAACCTACCAATCTAAACATAAGCCTGAATTTTATTTCACTGCATCTTCAGGATACAATCTGGTCCAACAGATGGCGCCCTGGAACACAGGCCCAGATCCTTGGTTATGAAGATGACTCCAGTTTCTTCGACTGTTCTGCTTTCGCTCAACTTATTGTCGAAGCCAAGTTTTTGTGAAGTACCAGGAAGTACAAATAAATGTTTTAATGGGAAAAAATACAAAGACTTACCACCAGGGGTCACTGTCACCATTTGTTGGAGTTTACATTGTTTTTCATGTCACCCCTCCTATTGTAATTGTTTTAATTTCATGTACTTGGTTAAATGAAAAACTCAAGACCTCTGATTTGCACAGCCACCAGGTGGCAGCACATGTAGAGCTTTAGGTCACAACCATCAAGAGAGCTCGGAGTAGTATTTTATAACATCTGGTCTTGGTCACGTGACCTGAGAACGTAACCATCTCTTCACACAGAGGAACCATGACGGACGCTTTCATCAGGAGAACATGGCTAGCTTTTATTAAAGGCTCATTCCACTAGAAACACAACACGTCTCCGACCAATCAGAATCCGTCCAATCCAAGACGTCATTCAGATGAATTCAAATTTAAAAAGAATAAAGTCAGAGAGGACGTGCAGCTCAGATCACGTGAACGCCGTCCTTCGAAGTTTCATCTTTGCTTTTTTGTTCAAAAACACAATCACAGAAAACACGTCTGCTTCACTAAGAAAGGTCAAAGGTCATCCACACTGCTTCCTCTCTTGAACGCCTGAGCAAGCCTTGGATTGGCTGACTGAAGCGAGCTGTGCTCTGATTGGCTCTGAAGTTTTCAGGGACTAAAAGAAGAGGGGGGAGCAGGAATACAACTGATCCTCCGTCAGTCACCAACTTTTCTAAAGGTTCTGGTTTTTTCTTTATCTGATCAAAAACCAGTGAAAATTTTGTGAAAATAAAAAGTGCAGATTTAAGCAGGAAAACGAAGATGAAGTGGCTGAAAAATAGAGGCGCTGTGAACAGGAAACAGTGTCAGGATACATGATTTCATAACAAGAGGAAACAGGAAGTCAAGGATACAGAAGAAGAAGAAGAAGAAGAAGAAGAAGAAGACGACACAGGACAGCAGCCACACAGCTGAGAGGACGGGAAGCTGAAAACCGCTACGACCAAATCACAATCACAGGTTTAGTCTTGAAGCTAACGCTGCTAACACACTACATGCCCCCCCCCACCCCCCGCCCCCCCCATCTTCCTCCCACCACTGCGTCAGTCCAGGTGTGGAGACACAGACCTGGTGTCAGCAGTAAAAGTCTGTTCCTTTGTCACCCTCCTCTGCTCAGCCAATCACAGCCTTGCGCCGCCCCCTCCTCAGTAAAGAATTAGATTAAGGGCCTGGAACCCCCTGTTTAACCTCACCCCCACGCTGTCCTTGCTCTGTCACAGCGCCACCTGCTGCAGCCTGTGGAGTGGAAACCCTAAAAGCTGGTGCTCCAACGAGGCCGCGTGGTTACAGACAAAGATCAAATGAAGACGTGGTGTGGGTCTACAACCAGGAGGTGGCACTGTTTCTTAAAGTTGTGATTTCATCGGGTTTAAGAGAAAAACCCGGCAGCAGCGCCCACATGTACACGCCATGGTTGAAGAAATCCTACACCCTCTGGTCCTCCAGGGGGCGTTAGTGCTCCACGGTTGGTGTTTCAGCCTCGTCTGGGGAGTCACACCTCCGCCCCACTCCACCACTCGTCACCACTTGCTTTTTCAGTTGGAGCAAGTCTTCCTCAAACTTCTGGTTGGATTTTTCTCCTCCATCCGTATTTCCAGGTGGTGCTGGTTTTGGTTGTTCAGACACAAAGCTCTGCCTCTGGTTCTGTTTCAGTGAGGCGGGTTCATGGTGCCGTGACCTCGCTGCTGCTTCTGTTTCTGCTGCAGGAGGAGCTGTTCCAGCGCCGACGGACCAGGCTGCATCATCGAGCTGGACCAGATGGACTGGAGGACAGAGAGGACAGCATTTTAGAGGACGTCAACTGTGACTAGGGGGCGCCAAACTGAAACTGTGTAAAGTGCAGTGACACCTTGAGGCTGTCGAGCAGAACGGTGGAGGACGAGTCCTCCATTGGAGACTCCTGATTGGTCCAGGAGCTACCACCGGGTCCTGTCTGGTGCCAGCTGGTCTCTGAGGCTGCGGTACAGGTCGCAGAGGGCAGGAAGTCCAGACCAAAGCCACTCACTGTGCCTGAACACAAAGATGGAGGTCAAGAGGTCACTAACAGTCTGACGGAACATCCACACACAGCTCTGGAGTCCACATAACACCACAGCCCTGACCCCCCCCCATGACCC